GCTCAGATAATACAGCATTTCAGACCTGATAGTCCTAACACAAATCCCCCTGTACTGATAGTTTATATAATAATTTCTTCCAACTCTATGGCTGATTCACACCTCCCAGCTTGCCTTAATGTAAATTAAAAATCAGGCATTAATGTGTTGCAACAGCTTTCATCTTGACAGATATGATAAAATACATAATCACTGTGTACGGAGGGAGAATATTGCTTTGCATGGGGAGGGACTGATGTCCTGGTGGCTGAGGGTGGTGGAGATGGAGTCCAGCAGTTCCTACGCAGCTAAACATAGGAGTCTGATCATGTTCCTGATGTCTGACAGCACGGAGTATTGCCTACAGTGCTGAGAGGTCCTGAACCAGCACTGAGAGGGAAATAAATAATGTTTTTCTTTCCTTAAAAACATCAACCTAATCCAACAGACTGGGGGAGAACCTACTGATATTCTTTGAAGCAAAATGTTAAGGTTTTGGTTTGGTGGCAGTCTTCTGACAGATGGACTGGCAGACCAAGGAGTACTGGGTGTGATGGTTTACAGAGCACATACACTGATTCTAGCTAGCTCCCAGGTCACCAGAGGGCTTTGCCCCTTCCTACAGGACTGCCACCCTCGCTATCCATCTCTAATGCTATCTGTGTTTATCTGTAGGAGATGCAAATGGCATGATTTTGAGATGAAACAGGAGCTTAAATTCTGCCTTCTTAAATGACTTTACATGTGTAAGAGATTATTCTTTTTCATCATTGCCTTAAGGCTTGCTGGGGACACAATTGAACAAGTCCAAGCAAGTCCTGGGCAAGGGTTGAGAAATCCTTTGTCTGGAGAACACTAATGGACAAGTCCTGGGAAAGGGTTGTGAAATCCTTTGTCTGAGGGACATAGATGGACAAGGCCAGGGGCAAGAGAGAGAGAAGCTGCAGATTAATGACCAGGAAGCAGTCTTTCGTGTGGGTTTATCTTGTGGAAGATGGCCATCTCAGGAAGTGCTGCACATGACTCTTACCTAAGCACCCAGGAATGCCATGAAGGCAGAAGGATAAAAAAGGGAACTACAACCATGAAGTTAGGTTTTCTGGTAACAGGTTCCTCATGAAGAAGAAGAGGTTTCTGACATGAGAAGCCTCACAACCTGCCTCTCTCCCTCCTGAACTTGCTCTGCGCTATACCTGGATGCTGAAGAAGAACAAAGGTGTCTGCCATCAGATTCCTCACTATGGAATTCCTGCATGTTGACAAACTCTCCTGTGTTTGCTACCTGAGTCCTGCTGCTTCCTCCTGGATTGGCTCTGTGAAACTTCTTCATGCTACCTGCTTGCTGCCCATGCTGCTGCTGCTCTCCTTCTGCTGCTTTTGCTTCGGACCTTTGAAACGTCATGCAGCAGGACTGCTGCTGGATCACAGTGGTGACTATCCCCACTTTATGTGATTCTTGCTTATTTCCTATCTTTTCTATCGCCCTCCTTCCCTTCCTGGTCACCCTAATCTGTAGTAGTAGTTGTCCTTCCCTTCCCCGTCTCCCTGATCAGGATTTGTAACAAACTGGTCGGACCAACATTTGAACTGTTGTTTCTTAATCTCACGCCAGGTATGAACATATTAAAAGAACCTCCTCTCCCTCCTATAAATTGGAGCGAGACAGCATGAGAAATTGCTTATATCACAGATGATGCCAAGCTTACTTTCTACTTACAGAATAGATACTTCAGACTCTTTCTGGGGAATAAGGTATGAAATCAGATTTTATGGTACATTCAAAATGCAGGAGTGAAATGGGTACAATTTTCATTATAATTTAGATTTATTAAGAACTATTACTGGGTATCTGTCAATTCTTCCCAAATGTAGATACTATTAATAATCTGTTTTATGTCTTTAAAGGAAAATGCAGAACTAGCCGCAACAGAAAGCCTTAAAGCTTCAGAAACTTTTTAAAGTGAGGATCATATGCAAAATATCATTGAATTAAGTTGATGAAAAGGTTATATTAACACATGGTTGAGAAGACTTTTCTAATCAAATTGCTTCTGCAGTTTGTGTGACTAGCAGGACTGTGGCCAAGAATCTGCAGGAAACTCAGACCAGTCAGTGCAAGTGAAGTATGCTGGTAACAGGAATTAGATATGAAAATACATTCTTTGATTCAACAGCCCCAAGATAGACTCATAGTAAAAAATTTAATGACTTTGCTTAGTACTTTCCTACAGCTTAATGGAAAAAAAATAGTTATAAGGCTTAATTATTTAAGAAGACAGTTTGCATATTCCCTTGATTCACCGGTGCTTAAAGGAGCAAACAAATCTTCTTCATTTGAAGACCATGGTAATGGAAGGAACAGAAATTTATTTAAGTAATAACAGCAGGATCTTAGCTCTGTGCTGCATCTGCTGGAACAGTGTCATGTACTTAAATTTGACCTCTTTAATATACAAAACTCTCCACTGATTTCAGGTTTCAGCCCTTAGCCATCACAGACACTCTGGTTTATATTTTCATTTGGAGTTCTGATGTAACAGAGGATTCAATTGGATGTCATTTTTTGTGATCAGGACTTTCAAACAGTTTTAAATATTTTATAGCCTAGCACTCAAAAGGAAGCAGAGCCTAGGAGAAAAATAACTGCTACTTCAGCTTCTTTCCTGTGCCTGCTAATGAATTAATGATTGTTTTTTACATCCTTTCAGAATACTTTAACATTCAGGGTACTCAAACATCAACAGAAGAAGGAGGCCAGAGTGAAGTCCCAGAATAGTCATGATGAGCTGGGACATCTTAGTGGAAAAAGAAGAGATATAGGTAGCCTGTAAAAGCAGGGAGAAAGGTTCTTCTGGAGGCAGCCCAGATCACCACAGGAAGGGAGAACACAAAATTTCTCCCCTTAATACTTTTGGACACATTAAATGGTCAGAATTTGTGTACAAATTTGTGTATGTATGTGTGCATATATGCACATATATGTCAGAATAGAAAAAAATGGAAGGAGAGAGGGAGAAGGTAAACACAGCTTATATATTTGGATAAAGGTAGAGAAATCAAAGGCTTTTGATTTTATAATGGCAACCTGAATAAATTAAACCGAAAAGTAAACACAGCTGTTTCTCCTAAAGAGGAAAGGGAGGGAAAGGTGTCCAAGAGCACAGCCCACCATGACCTGTTGACTAAGCAGACCAGCTGTTATTTAATTCAGCTTTCTTTGAAGTATTAAGTGTTTTGAGATATTCTGAAAATCAGATGATTTGGTACTTTTTTTTTTCCCCAATATGTCACTATTTTCCTCTTTTTTTTTTTTTTTTTAATAGAATTTCTATCAGATTTTTTTTGTTTGGTTGGTTTTGATTCATGTCTCCAGTTTCAGTGTTTCAGAAGGCAAATCAGTCTGGATTTAAGTGGTGTGCAAAGCCTGGCTGATCTTCTTCGAGTCTCTGAAGCTTCCTTCAATGACTGTCAAATTAGTGGGATAAAAAGAGGTACAGTGCACCATGGATGGAATCTTCCTTCTTTCTGAGATATGCTCTGAAATCTTTGCTTTATGTTTTAAGAGGATGCATCAGTTTAAAAATTCTTTGCTTTGATCTGAAATACTTGCTGAAAAAGCAAGGGTTTTCTGGAGTCCTTCCTTTTATATATATTTTTTGAATATCTTTTACCATTCAGAATGCCTGAAAGTTATTTCTGTTTTGTAGCATGTAATAAATATTAGGCTAAAGATGAAGATAAAATCTTGAAGTGATTTAGATAAAAGGAAAAAGAATGTAATAAAGGAAAAATGGAGAAAAAGACACCATGAGATCAAATGCATTTTATGATTGTGTATATACAAATATCAGCTCTAATTCAGCTGTAACTTTGCCCTGTTTCCAGCCAGTTAAAAATGCATCAATACTTCATTCGTTGTCATCTATTTTAATGGAGATAAGAACAAAGTCATTTTCAGAAATTTGTCTCTGATTTCTTTGTAAAGGATGATGTCACTCGAGTATGCTGCCAAAGTCCCTACTTATTTTCAAAGAAAAATAAATCCTTCCCTTCACTCTAACCAGTCCATTCATAGAAATGTTATCTATGAGACCTTGCAAGATATTGGCTTATCCTGGCTTCCTTATAGCTATATGTCAGGCCTCTGCCTGGACATCTGTCTGCTGTGTACGCTGTGCTTGCTTGGGACTTGCTAGGTGTAGGGCCAGGCAGGGAAGAGAGCAAGGAATGACCAATCACATTGATCTGGGAGAGAAGGAAGGGCAGGCTGTGCACAAGATCTTGGCCTGAAGATCTTTTGAAGATCAAAACAGTTGTGTGGTTTTTCTTTTTCTATTTTTTTCTCTTGAAACATTACCATTAGATTTCTCTCTGACTTTTCTCCTAGCAGCAAGGATGACGACCCAGTGGCATTAGCAATGAGCCAGCATGCTCAGGACGTTGCCATTTCTTTTAAACATTTTCAAACCTTTTTGAATGAGTGGTGCTGTAATTTTTGTCCTAGATGGAGACCGTAAGTGGCGCAGTGATTTCCTTACTCAGTAATTGACCTGTGACACTGACTTTGATATTGTGACTGCAGATGCATGCAGATCATAAATTTATATGCTGATATTTATAGTTTAGGCAGCGTACAAAAATCAGGCTGTTCAAGCTCTATTAAATTAACTAATAAAAGTTAAGTGAAAGTATCTAAAAAGCTTGAAAAAACCTTAGGTTACTCTATTTAAATTGGTTAATTAATGAAAATGTAAATATTTAAAACCCATGAAGTTATTAACTAAATTAGTGAGAATTATCTTAAAGTTACAATTTACTCAATCAGATCATCAGCCAATGCAATCTCTATTTAAATTAATGGAGATACACCATTTTACACAGCTTGGGCTTTAGATCATGACAATGATAAACCCATAGATCTTTTTCAAGCATACTGCACTTGGAGCAAATATGTTTGTCATAGGATTTAAGAACCATAAAAGCACATTTAATATTAAAAAAAAAATTCACTTATAACTTACCATTCTGTAAAGTTTATCTTCCAGATCCTGATTAATTCTTTGTAAGGCTAGGTAATTGTTTTGTATCCTAAAACAAAGATGATATCATATAATTGAATGTATTTTTTTTGTGTTATTTTTACCTCAAACTTTCACATCAGTACAAAACCTTGGCTTGCACTACTTGAAATCTATTTGCTTACCACTCCTGTTGCCAGTCAGTGGTTTCCTTTGAAATGCAATTACCACCTACTTCCTAAGCAAACTTCTATGTCATATTTGTTTACTATATTTAGCAGCAAATTCTGTCAGGAAGTAAAAATGTGTTTGCTGTTCTGTGCTTATGTGCAGACATGCTTCACAGCATGAGAACTTGCACAAAGGGATTGTAGCTGTGCATCAGGCTCACAAATTATATGTCAGGGAGGAGGCTTGAGCTTTCTGCTTAGACACTACAGGAAGAGATTTAGCAGACTCTCCTAATGTGGAGAATTGCAGCAGAAACCCAATGACTGCAGTAGAAAAAATGACTTAGAAGGGAATATTCCCCTTTTGACAGAAGTTCAAAGGAATTGCACATCCTTGAACCTCAGCAACACATTCTCTTTCTTCAGCAAATAAATCTAGATATCTCACACTGAAAATGTGGGTGTTTATTTTTATTAGAATTCAGGAATGGGTTCAAAAGTATCTGCATAAATTTATGAAGGAAGGAATAGTGCCAAACAAAATATTTTTTCAGTATTTTTCTAGCTCGATTTCTCTGTACCCGAGTCTTTTCTGCAGTACAGAGCTACGTGGAGCGCATCTTACAAGGTTTGAAGATTTCTTTCCCCTGTATTTAAAAACATGAACAAAACTAACAGCAATTGCAGCCAGATAACCTATATATCCATCTTATTACAATGGCAATGCACCAGAGGTTTTAGTCCTAAGATTCTACAGACAATATTTTTCTCTCACTACAGATGACTGGAAGATCAGTTATCGCTAATATAATGGCTTTCAAATGGCAGTGTTTCCATGCAGTAGACAGTAGTTGGTTTTTGCAGTAACAATATGCTTCTCGGCTTGTATCAAGTCTTTATCACGTTTTCCTGTGTTATATGTTTATCAGAAAATATTCCACAGAAAGTTTTTGCATTGAAAAAACTGACCACCTCCCAGCAAATAAAATCCAAACAATAAATCTAAACAAAAAATAAACAGTACATAGCAAGCCGAGCTTCAAAGAGCATTTCTGTTGAGAATGGTATGCAAAGGTAGTAAAAATAAGCATAAATGTGCACACAAATATAAGCACGTATCCAAATAAAACCCAAATTTAAATCCACTGCTCCAAAAGAAGTGGCAGAAAATGTGGATTGAATGGGGAGAAACAGACTTAACAACAAATAAAAGAAAGTGTTAAAGGGATACAAGACAAACTCGGCAATTACTGTGAAATAAAAAAGAAGGAAAAATTATTCAAATTCAAAATGATCAGGGGAGTAAATGGTAACTTAACTCTGTGTAGAAAAAAAAATATACACATAATCTGAGTCTTGTGCAATATGAAATATTTTTGTCATAAATTTGGATTCTCTAAATAAATGAATCAAAGAGCAGGTCATCTTCATTAGTCTCTGAAACCAGTTTAAGGAGAAAATCTTTCCATGTGAATTGATAAAAAATTATTATCATTTTGATGGCTTTTGATGGCTTTTTGTTGTTAAATTAATAGGGTTATATGATACCCACATACATACATGTGCATGCAATAAATGCATGTTTAGATTCCTCAGTAAATTGAACTCTTATGAAAAGTGTTCTGACCACACTGAATGCCATGTATCAGAACTCTAACCAAGCAGACAATACATTTTTCTCAAAGACTGCAAAGAGAAGGCCTGCAAAATCTCTATTTCAAAGCCCTCACATGGCTCTGAAATATCTGATGTAAAACACAGGCTTGGGTTAGCCTTCTGCAAAGAAGAGAATTTCACCCTGAGTTCAGCTTAGCTTTGAAAGGTGACTTAAAATAGTAACCTTGTTCAAAAATCTTTTTCCGTTAACACGAGTTACACTGGTTTTCTTACAGAAACAAAATACTTTTCCTCTGTTTATTCTAAAGCTAACACAGCTACCAAGTTTCTGATCTGAAAACCCCTTTAGCCCATGATGTGTCTAGCTTTTGGTGAAACAATTAAGCGCGGGGGCTAATCTTAGCACTAAAAATATGCTTGTATGGATTCATTCCTTGTGTCTTAAGATATCTCTGCTCTCTGAAAAATGCCAGGAAGACCTTGAGCAGCTGGTTCCCAGGGCACAGTCTCAAGCAGGAAAACCAGTGTGACCTTAGGGGAAACTTTTGAGTTTCCATATTAATATTTGAATATTATGAAAATATAATCTTTAAAAAGTCATGCTGTTCATTCTAGATAGGGGAATCACTGTGAGGAATGTGAAATTCCCAACATCTTTTCAGTCACTTTTCGAAGCCCTACTTTACGGTTAATATTTTGAAACACTCTCAGCATTGCTCCCAGTGGGTCAAAAAAGAAAAATGGAGGTCAAAAGCCTTGAATGCAGTGTCACATAGATGACTTTCTTGCTTAGGTTAAACAGTTAATTCTGGACAAATTAAGAGGTCAAAAGCTTTCAAAAGGAGCAGAAAAAGATGGCTGTTCAGATTCTCAGAAAAAATTCTGTGCACAACGCTAATGGAATTTTAATAACAGAAATGATCTCTATTATGCAAGTGGGATCATCGTACACATGGCTTATTTGTTAGTAGGGGCTGAATTTTTCTCCCCGTGTTGTGAATAAAGAAAGAAACATATTATTGAAACTAATTCTGATTCCTTGTTTTTCTCATGCTGGTTTTCTGATACTGGTGACATACTGCTGACATGCTTTTGGATTTCCAACAGTTTCCTTTTCCAGGCTGGGAAATCTATTTGTTTAACTTGTGGTATGCCTCGCTATTCTCAGTAGTAACATCTTTAAAGCTTGTAAAATATTTTGGGTCTCCAATGTCTCTACCTGCCTGAAACATAATTTTTCAATATAACTTTTCTTCATAATATAATACAGTGCTCAGAGTACAGGAAAGTCAGTTCTACTAATCTGGTGTTTAGGTACTATTGCTAGACTTTGCCATGAGCAAAATGAAGAATGAATGGCCTGAATTTTGAAGAGTACTTAAACTGTCAGTGTCTGGTGATGTTGACATAGGTTATTTTTTTACTTAAGGAAAACTGTATATTGTCCCTTTCTTTTAACAAAAGTGGGATGGCCAGTCATTCAGATAAGGATCATTCAAGAATTATGACAGCCGTGTCTAAAACAATATTTTGGGAAAAAAGATTGCCAATATTCCCTGCCCTTAGAGCTGTAATATAGCAGAACAAAACTACATCAAGTGTAATGTAATTTTCAGTACACATTATCTTAATGAAATGATGGAAAATAAATACCGATGGCAGAAAAACAATATGGAAAGCCTCTGCAGAGCTCTTGATAGATAAGTATAGATTTCGCAGTCATGACTCCTATAATCCATCTGCTCATTTTGGTCTTGTTTTAAGAAGCCTCGGAGATAGGAAAGAACCTAAGTTATAAGAACATACTAGATGTTTCTTAATTTAAGATCTTACAGCCTAATTATTTTTTTAATTTACATAGAATTATTTGGTTGACTCAGGTTTTCTTTCTTTTTTTTTTTTTTTTAATTTATTTTATTTTGTTTTTCTGGCTTTGTTGTACTTCAGTTTTTGCCTTCTGCAAAGAATGATTTCTTTGGGTCTAGCCCTGGAACAGTTTGTTCTGAATTTTTTTTTTGGCTCATCCAGTGAATTAAATCAAATAGTTCAATTATCTGTATACTTTTCAGCAAAGTCTTCACAAAAAATGCAGATACATTCCTACATAAATGGATACTAGTAGGTTCCAAATTGTTGTAAACAAATGGAAAAAATTAATACTGAGAATCACTGCTAAGTTTAGTGCCAGATTACAGACCATTTTAATCATTACCAAAAATGTCAGGAGTGCATGCTTATGATAATTTCTCATTAACATTAACTGGGCCCTTGATTTGCAATAGCACTGTACCACAGCTTCAGTAATTTTAAGTAATAGATTTTTGGTATCAGTCATTCTATCTGGGGCTGGAAACTGAATGATGTAATGTATCATGACATAAAATGTCATAATATTGTTTATATTGATCTTAGTTTCAGCTTTGAGACAAATACTCTTTTCTTGTATCAGTACAGTGGAGAGTAACAACTGAAAATTTGCAGACAAATTGATTAATCATAGAATCATACGAAGGAGAATTAAAAATAGAATTAAAATGTTTTATGTATATATATATACATGAGATGTGTATGTATTTATGATACTTTCATATGTGTAATTTAACTAAGTACTAACCAACACATGATTACACATCAACAATATCATATACCTACCTATATACATGTTTCTATTTGCGTGTTTACTTTCAATACAAAATATGTTATGTATGATAAACACAGTTTCATATACAGTATGTAATAAATATTCATATATGTGAAATACGTATATTCAGCATGAACATAGAATGTTTAATCAATAAATAATAAATATTTGAGATATGTATTTATATTTTTACTTACATGTCTTTAATACAGCCTTTTGTAAATTCCTCAAATCTGCTTAATTCAAAAAGTTAGTTACTAACCTTCTCAGTTTTTCAGTTACTTTCTCAAGTTCCTCCTGAGCACGTCTCAATTCTATTTCAAGATACTGACGTGTAGAATCAAATTCCGTTTCAAGCATTTCCAGTTTATGGGTAGTGTATGATAGACGTTTTCGTAATTCCCCCTTCTGTTCTTGCAAAGTACTAGAAAAGCAAAAGATCACAGCTGTAGAATTTAGCTGCTCCTGAAAAGCTGTTCATGATGCATTCTCTGACCAATTCTCTATGGTATTTAATGGCACGGAGCCAGTGAATTGTGCTTAATAATTTGTTTACTGCACTTTGAAAATCTTCTGATTTAGACAGCTGACTGTCTTCCCATCTGTCCTAGTGCATTCACTGTTAATATCTCATTAGCCACAATGGAACATTTTGTGGAAGAACCCTCATTAAAAACAAAAAGCAGTCTAGCGTTTGGTTTAACACAGGAACTTTCATTTAGAGTTACCCTAAAATATAGTGACTGAAGTAGCAGATATTTATAGAGCAATGAATGTATATAAACTATGCAAAACTATTTCCTTGCCAATAGCCAAGGTTATAACATTTTCTAGAGAAATAAGTCTTTGTCTCCTTTCATTCAGTTTGCTCCTTAGTCCCACAGAGCTGCTAATGATTCTATACTTAGAGTTTCGTCATGAGAATTGAAGTCTTAATAATCAATTATTACTATGTTTCTCCATTTTCCTACCTATTGGGGAATAAATCCATGCTATTTACAAGTGTGACCCCGAATTTTTCACAGTACCTTCACTAAGAAAGAATGTATGTCTTGCTTGTAAGCTAGCTGCTTTTACACTCCTTGAGAAAGCAGTGAATTTTTTCAGAGAAGTTTTTCACTTTTCGTTTTATTTCAGAGACAATTTAAGATAGTCTAGGTCCAGGAGATAAAAGCACCACTTTTACTGTGAAGGTCAAAATGCCATCTTCCCAAACCATGCACCTGAATTTGCAGTGATGACCCTGGTGATATTTTCCCCATCTGTGTGTTTTCAAGAGAGCCAGTCCTCTCTTGCTTCCTTATCTGCATGATGGAGCTCTTTCATCCTAGTCTACTTGGTGGTAAGTTCCTCAATCTTCTAACACATTTTCCAAGTGAATAGGAAGCTGGGGCTCCAGCTGGAACTGGTATCTCTAGAGGTGACTGCACCTCGTTTCAGATTACTACTATCTCTGCTAATATTGAGCTGATCTCTCAGCTTTGGGTGGGAGCTCTGAGGCACCATAGAGCTGTAGTCTTCCACCACCTAGAGACAAGAGGGCTAACAAATGATGTGTTCTGAATTGCCTTAGTTTTTCTAAACATAAGATAAAAAATAATTTTTCATAAAAGAATGGCAAATCTTGATGCCCTCTGATATCAAATCTGTACTGCCATCAGCATAGGTGTACTAGTATTTTGGATCTTTAATAAGACAAGGGTGATGGGAATAGCAAGTGATTCCTTAAGGAAAATTTATCTGAGCTGGCTTCAGTGGGATGATCTTCTCCTTTACCAACTACTATAGGATCTTCAGTAAGTTAATGCAAAAGCTTTACAACTGATGCTTACTTGATCCATGCAACCTATGCTTAGGAAACAGCCTAATGTTTTGCCTGCATAGTGCTCTATTTCAATTACAGGTGTTGTGTGGTTACAGTCATTTTTGGATTACCACTTGTGGTTATTTTTTTTAAAATAATATATTCTAATTCAGACATTTAATGTAGCTTTTCAGTCATTTAGTTTTTATATTTCACTTGGTGAATATATCTGCCTTGTTATCTGGGAAATAAGAATCTGCACCCATGTTGCTCAAATCTGTACATCTTCATTCATGAGGTTGCCACATCACATCACATCACTTTTCACTTGCTCTTGTTCTGACTTATTGTTCTTTATATTTTTCTGCTCATTTCAAAAGAGAAGTCAGTTTTCCTTCCTGTAACTTGGCAACTTGGATTTTCTATGAAGTGTGAATTAAGGTATGAACTTATGGTTGGGTCTCCCTCCCTCCTTGGTGATATTCAAAAGCTACTTGGTCAGGGTCGTGGGCATCCTTCTCTGGGTGTACCTTCTTGAGAAGAGGTTGGGCCAGACAGATTCTGAGGTTCCTTCCCACCTCCATCATTCCAGGATTTTATGAAAACTAGAGTGGAAAAGATTTAATCTTAAATCATCTGTCAAAATCTAAGGTTTGTACAAAAACAGGAGCTTTTCAGGCTATGGTTTTGAATGTTCAGGGTGCTGCTTTATGTCAGGCAAATTCAGTTAATGCAACTTTGGTGAGGTCAGGTGTAGGTACAACCGGATCCTGCTATAGAAGGAAGTTTTTCCACAGGAAGAGTTTGACCTTTGGGTTTATAGAAGGTGTAAAGAGAATGCCTGGAGTATTTAAGTCAGTGACAATCAAGTACAATTCTAATGAACTAAGAAAACAGTCTGCATAGATGCACTCTTCACATAATGCATTCATATACCGCTGAAACATATAGCCACTTTTATGGAATAAAATAAAGAAATAGGGATAGAATAAAAAAAGAAAGAAAACCCTCAAACTGGGAAAGTTATTAAACATTTATTTCCTTTTTAGCCTTATTGAATTAAGCAAGTTCTGAAAAGATATTTAACTTGCTATAGGCAGGGACACCTCCCTCTAGACCAGGTTGCTCAGAGTCCCATCCAGCCTGGCTTTGAATATTTCTAGGGAGGAGGCATCCACAACCTTACTGGGCAACCTGCTCCAGTGTCTCACCACACTCACAGTAAAGAATTTCTTCCTAATATCTAGTCTAAATCTGCCCTCTTTCAGTTAAAAGCCATTTCCCCTCATCCTGTTGCTATATGCCCTTATAAAAAAATTGCTGAGTACTGAGTATTGTAGAAAGAGGAAGAACATACAATGTTACAAATTTAATATATCTAATAACAGAAATAGAGTCAGAGTCTCAATTTTTATTTTATATAAATCAAAACTATTTTATGCTGTTTTTTTCTTCCCCTCCCCCCCCCAGTTTGTTATGAAATATGCTTTCTCTGAAAAAAAAAGAGAAAGCATGTTCCGTTTACTCCCACTGTTACCTTCAAGTTTTATCAGTTTATGCAGTGCCTGAATCACATTTCTTTGTGCTGTGTTACTTGCTTTCTTGTTATAAAAGACTGGGCTTTTCACAATCAATACTTTTGTTGTGTACCAGTGTAAACTTTTGTAGTGGTAATTTAGACATATTTGAAAAAAGGAAAAAATTAAGAAGTCAAAATACGGTTGAATAAGTTAATCACTTTTCCTGTTTCTCCAAGACAAATCCACAAAGTAGCCATGTTGTTTTGATTCTCTTTGTCATATAAGAGTTCATTAGAAAAGTTCACTGCACAATTTTTTTGATGCTGGTAAATCAACATATCTCAATTAGTCATTATCTTCTGTGGTTAGTCAACTCTTTTTTAATTATAGATATAATGAAGAATGCATATATTTTCAGGAAATATATTCAGAAAACGGATTTTAAATAAATATTCGCATATATGTTCCTCAGTTAAAAAGTAAGAAAATAATTCAATCAGAAATAATACAACCAGGAGAAGAGAGAATTAATTTTCAAAGAATAAACTGGGAATAGAGTGGTGCTATGCCTTAGGGAACTCTGATCGTATATTCCATGGATTTACTGAAACACAGGCAGCTGGAGAAGTAAGGAATTACAGGACAGGCCCCAAATTCCTGCACAGTAGGACCGTTTGTATGAATGGTTCCCTATTTCTTCTACTGATCTCTAAAACTCTGCTCCTGTTTCAACAAGTAGTTTACAAGTCATTGCCTATTTTACTTCATTAAAGTATTTCTCTGAATACAAGGACAGTTAGTACAATATTAAATATTGTACTTGAATAGTCAATGTAAACCTCTCAAGGGGGGCTACTTAAAAGGTGATTAATGTGTCTTCAGTCTTCCCAAATAAATACTTTTAACAATTAGCTATGCTTATTCTCATTAAAAAAATTATAAAATAGATAAGAGAACATATTGGCAAACAGGTTCTTGTCCAGAAACATCATAAAATAGCCAGTAATTGCCAGGTTTGAGTTCTGCAATTGTTGCCTGAAAGGGAATTTGAAGCCTTCTTCCCTTGAGCAGAACTCTTACAGGGAGACGCTGTTGAATGTGATTGCTGGATCTTATCCTCAGCTGCAGTGTAGGGGAAATCTAATCATATGGGAGGTAGTGCTACTCAGACTACATTTAGTGAAAAGAAGTGTGTTCTATACAAGATAGACTGGAAGCCTATACATGCAAATCCAAGTACTACCGAAATACAAGTACTTTCCTGGTGTGAAGAATTACCATCCCTATGTGATCAACAGAAAAACAAAAAATGTTCTTGCATCCCTAATGTTACCGCTCACCTTCCTTATTTTTTTTTTTGTGCACACAAGGTGGTGAGTGGTCAAAACAAATTTTTTTTTCCTAGAAGTCCCCCCCCCAAGCCCTTGCTTCAAGCTGAGTACTGGAACAACTGCACAGCCCAATGGTGACAGAAAGCATGCCTATCTCAGCTTCAGCTGGTTGGTATTCATCTGCAGTGCTGTCCAGATGAGCTGTATTTATTTCACTGGAGCATTTCAGTCCAAGAAAAGATGCCATGTGGTGGTAGTTCTATTCTGAGAAAGGTGTAGTTGGAAAAAACAGATTTTCATTGTACCTGTGTGATCTCCTGCCAGCTCATCTGCCTGGCAGATGGCCCAATGGCAAAGGAGTGCTGATGTGTAAAGTTGGAGTTGCTCAGCTGTGTGGAGGCCAGAGGATTTCTTGAGATTTTTACCTTCAGGCAGACCACAAAGATGATGATCCCTGGGCTTTTTCTCCCTGAGAGCTGATGTTTGTGGGCCTGCCCCATAGTTAGAGTATTCTGGAAATCCCAATTTCCCACCTGAAAAGTCAATATACCTTGGCAGCACTTTCGTGCTTCTTGCCATCTCAGGGCTTTGCCTTGCAGGTGGTTCTGCAATGTTGTTTTAAACTGGTGCAAAAACATAGTTTCAAATATGGAAATTCTCCCTTAGTTAATGGATGACATTAATGACACAGCTCTAGTAGCAGCTAAAACAAAATTTGCTTAACATTATTAGGATAGAAATAAACGGTGAAATAATGCAAAATGTGAAC